TTTAATATGTCAGTTTAGAAGAGAGCTAAAGGATGTTATAGAATTGTTAACTTAAGGATAATATAATTTAAGACAGAATATAATTATTGTATTGTAAACCCTGTGTGTAGCTCTGGGAAGTCGGGGGGAAGGGAGGGGGGTGGGGAAGGGTGGGGTATGAGGGAGGTGGGGAGTTATATTGTAAAAATTTTAAAAATTTCCAATAAAATAAATAAATAAATAAATAAATAAATATGAGTCAGTTGCCAAGGGTCTGAATTTTGATCACGTGACCATGGGGATGACACAACTGTCGTAAGTATGAAAAATGCTCATGTCAGGTTTTTCAGTGCCGTTGTAACTTTCAGTGGTCACTAAATGAAATATTGTAAGTCAAGGACTGTGTATTCAGAGTTATATCAACGTGAATTTGTCAGTGTGCGATCTTCTGCAAAGTCTCGGTCCAGTGGTTCCCAACGTATAATTCCTCCAAATTTCCAATTAGTTGTAGGAGATAAGATCAAGTTAAGATTTTTAGTCCAAAATTGTGGACAATAGGGGCAGCTTCCTCTAGACCAGGAGTAGGCAACCTCGGCTCTTTTATGAATCATGGACTTCAACTCCCAGAATTCCTGAGTCAGCTATGCTGACTCAGGAATTCTGGGAGCTGAAGTCCATGAGTCATAAAAGAGCCGAGGTTGTCTACTCCTGCTCTAGACAGCTGTTTCTCAGCCTCAGTGACTTCGGGTGTGTGGATTTCAATTCCCAGAAATCCCCAGCTGGTATGTTTGTTCTTCACCTCCCAGAATTCCCTAACTGGCATGCATGGACTTCAATTCTCAGAGTCATTGAGGAGTTGAGTAAAGAAATAAAATTAATAAATAAAATCCCCAGAATTCCCTAGTTGGTATGTGTGAACTTCAACTCCCAGAATTTCCTAGCCGGCATTCTGGGTGTGGAATTCTGGGACTTAAAAGTCCACGCATGCTGGATGGGGAATTCTGGGAGTTGAAGCCCATAGCTCTTCAAGTTGTTGACATTGAGAAACAATGTTCAGAGTAAGAGAGATTAAGGCAAGGATTTCATGTCACGTCACGTCCTGCATTCAGGGGACTGTTTCACGTCGTTTTTGTCATCTCCAAGCCAATAATGGGTTTGTTTAATGACTGCAGCATTCACTTAATGACCGCTACAAGAAAGGTCGTAAATTGTGACCTGCTTTACCACCATCACAATTTATAACCATAATGGGGCTGGTAAGTTGTTGCAAGTCAAAAACTATTTGTAATCCGTATCTAAAAGGTACGTTTTTTATTCAGGCATTTCTCCAACAGTGTCATAAAACATAGAACCTCAGGGCTGGAAGGGACCTTAGAGGTCTTCTAGTCCAACCCCCTCTTCAAGGCAGGAGACCTTCTACCATCCTGGTCAAGTGGTTGTCCAGTCTGTTTTTGAAAACCTCCAGTGATGGAGGACCCACAACTCCAGGAGACAAGCTACTCCAGTGATGGCGAAACTTTTAGAGATTGAGTGCCCAAACTGCAACCCAAAACCCACTTATGCATCGTCAGGTGCTGGATGGGTGTGGCCCATTGGCTGGGCGCGGCCCATTGGCTGGGCGTGGCTGCGGTGGTAACGGCAGACTGGGTGGGACGAAAAAGTTCAATCTATCGATTCCAACTTTGCGAGATCTTTTTTTTCCCCCGTGAGAAGTTGAAATTGACTGATTGAACTTTTTTTTTTTTTTGCACATGGCGGCAGAGGCCTAAAGCGAAAAGGTTTTATAAAACCCATCTGAAGGCCTAGGACTGGGGTGATGCCGTGCGTGCCCACAGAGAGGGCTCTGAGTGCCACCTCTGGTACCCGAGCCATAGGTTCACCACCACTGAGCTACTCCATTGATTACAAGATAGTCCTCAACTTACAACAGTTCATTTAGTGACCGTTCAAAGTTACGGCATTGAAAAAAGTGACTTATGACCATTTTTCACATGACCGTTGCAGCATCCCCGTGGTCACGTGATCAGAATTCAGACGCTTGGCAACTGGGTCATATTTATGACGGTGACGGTGTACCAGGGGTTATGTGATCCCCTTTTGTGACCTTCTGACAAGCAAAGTCAGTGGGGAAGCCCAGATTCATTTAACAACTGTGTTAACTAACAATTTCAGCGATTCATTTAACAACTGTGGCAAGAAAAGTTGTACAATGGAGCAAAACTCACTTAACAAACGTCTCGTTTAGTAAGCAGAAATGTGGGAATCGATTGTGGTCATACGTCGAGGATTGCTTGACATTGGAATTGCTGTTAATTCACAGTTAAATGGTTTTAAGTCCATTTAAAACATAAAACATAGAAAAATAGGGTTGGAAGGGACCTCAGGGGTCTTCTAGTCCAACCCCCTTTTCAAGGCAGGGGACCTTCCACCATCCCGGTTAAATGTTGTCCAACTTTTCATTAGATGCAGAAAGAAAAACAGGGTTCTCTCCCTAACTTTCCCATCAGAGCCAGCAGAAAGAAATGCAAGGCATCTTAAAAAATCTGAGCCAGCAAGAAGACAGGAATGTGGAGGGTGAGAAGGCCGTGGGGAAGAAGCTGAATTCTGAGATCCAGAAGCAAAACTGCCTCATTGACCAGCTCAAGCAGATGGTGGCCGAGCGAGAAGCTCAGGTGAAGGAGCTGGAAGAGATGGTCAGGCAGCTGAGGTTGCAGGTAAGGCATCTCAGAGGTGAGAAGCGAGGATAGAGGCATGGGGAATGGCCAGGAAAGACAACAATCAAAAAACAGCTTGAGAAAATGTCTCCCTGAATTCATCAAACATTGAATTTGATATCAGGGGAAGACACAATTTGAGAGCCACTTTGGTCTAGTGGTTAAGACGCTGGTCTAGAAACCAGGAGATGGTGAGTTCTAGTCCTGCATTAGGCATGAAAGCCGGCTGAGTGATTTTGGACCAATCAGGAAACAATGAATTCTAGTCCCACTTAGGCCCAATTATCAGGAGATTGTGAGTTATAGTTTCATCTTAGGCATAAAAATCAGCTGGGTGACTTTGAGCCAATCATTCTCTCTCGGCCCAGCCCACCTCACAGGGTTATTGTTGTGGGGAAAATAGGAGGGACTATCATGTATATTTGATACTTAAATTGTCACGTAATAAAGTTGGGATAAGCATCTAATAAATCAATCAATAAACAGGAATCCCGGGCACTCAAAATCGGTTGGCTGATTGTATTTTGTAGCAGCAGCACCTTCCCCCCCAAGAGGAAAGTGGATTAGATTCGGGTTCCACGCTGTCTACAGAGTCTTTAGAAGAGGAAAATCAGAATTTAGCCACCAAGAAAGAAGACTATAGCAGAACTGACAGCTCTGTAAGGTAGGAAAGGCAGCGTTCTAAATCTCCAATTATTTTTTTTTTAAAGAGTCTCTCCCAGTTCTGATCCTTAGTCATTATCCTGAGCCAGATTGAAAAACCTTTGGATAGAGAAACATTTCTCAGAGGTATACCTAAGCAAGATGGTTGTTGAATGAGTTTTGTCCCATTTGATGGCCTTTCTTGCCACCGTCGTTAAGCAAATCGCTGCAGTTTTTAACTTAGCAACACGGTTGTTAAGTGAATCCGGCTTCCCCTTCTGACTTTGCTTGTCAGAGTCACAAAAGGGGGATCATATGACCCCAGGACACAGCAACCGTCAAAAGTACAAGTCAGTTGCCAAGCATCTGAATTCTGATCACGTGACCACGGGGGATGCTTCAACCGTTGTACGTGTGAAAAATGGTCACTTTTTTCAGTGCCGTTGTAACTTCAAACGGTCACTAAATGAACTCTTGTAAGTCAAGGACTGGCCTGTGTCTACACCAGGGCTTTTCAACCAGTGGTACGGGTACCACCTGTGGTACATTGGCACCTGGCAGGTGGTACGCGACCATCCTAGAAAAGTAGTGGGGTTGGGGAATGGGCTGAACCGGTGGCATCACTGCACAAGCCTGAGCGAGAGACGGCTGGAGCTGCAGGGCTGTCAGGGCTCAACGGAAGCGCCAGGATCAGCACCAGACTCCAGCTGGAGCTCGGCGCTGATCCTGGTGCTTCTGCTGAGCCCTGAAGAAGCACCAATCAGCTGGAAAGCAGCACTGATCCTGGCGCTTCTGCTGAGCCCAGAAGAAGTGCCAATCAGCTGGAATGTTGCAGCATCTCCAGGGTCTTGTGATTTACATTCAGATGCTTGGCAACTGATTCATATTTATGACGGTCACAGTGTCCCAGGGTCATGTGAAGTGACCAAAACCTGCTGCAACCACCCAGCAGACGGAGGGGGGGATAAAAACCAAACACACCCCACCCCACCCCCTCTGCCAATCCTCAACAGAAATGCCTCACAACAATGGAAACCTCGGACAGGAGGAAGAGCACCGCAGGCAGGTGTGTTGCTTGGCTGTGTCTTGCGGAGGCACTTTTTTCAGTGCCATTGTAACTTCGAACAGTCACTAAGCGAACTGTTGTAAGTCAAGGACTACCTGAACTTTATCACTTTTTTCCTTTTTGGGGGGGGGGTCATCAAGTTTTTGACACCTTGCTAGGCGACTGGTGGTACTCGGATGTTGCCATATCCTAAAAGGGGTACAATGGGTGAAAAGGTTGAAAAGCCCTGGTCTACACCCATCTCAAATGCCTCGAAGTGAATGATGGGTTTGCTTAAAGATTGCAGCATTCGCTTTGTGACCCTGTGCTAGCTTAACAACTACAGCCAGAAATGATATAAAATAGGACACGGTCAAAAACGACCTTCTTAATGACAGTCATGACTTACAGTAAACTATTTGTATAGTTTACTGTGCTGGTTACTATCGTCCCAGGTGGGGAACAAGCTCAACTAGAATTTACAAACCAGTATAGCTGGACCCACCATACATGCATCTGGGTCTACAGCAAACTAGCCTTCATCTGGATTGCATTCACTTCTGATGACACCTTGTATTGTGTGTAAGTTTGGAATTTTTGACCTCCAGAAATATGGAACCGAAGGGAATTTAAAGATCATCTAATCCAGGTGGTAGTGGACTCCACTTTGCTGGAGCTGTTTAAACAAATATTGAAGTGATAGGTTCCTTTGCTGAATAACAAGAGTTGGAAGGTACCTTGGAGGCCATCTAGTCCAACCCCCTGCCCTAGCAGAAAACCCCATATCATTTCAGACAAATGGCTGTCCAATCTCTTCTTAAAAACCTCCACTGATGGAGCACCCACAACTTCCAGAGGCAAGTCGTTCCACCATTTGATTGCTCTGGGATTAGAGAATAACAGAAGAAGAGTTGGAAGGGACCTTGGAGATCTTCTAGTCCAACCCCCTGCTTTAGCAGGAGACCTTACAACATTTCAGACCAATGCTTGTTCAATCTCTTCTTTAAAATCTCCAGTGATGGAGCTCCCAAAACTTCTGGAGGCAGGTGGTTCCACTGGTTAATTGTTCTCGCTGTCAGGAAATTTCTCCTTAGTTCCAGGTTACTTCTCTCCTTGCTTAGTTTCCACCCACTGCCAGCTCAGGTTGGACTAGATGATCTCTAAAATGGCCCCGTCACCCTTTCATTCTAGGATTATAGGATGCTTCGAACGGCTGCATCCTTGGCAAACTAGAATTTCCCCCAGACGGCGCTTCTGATCCCACCCTGGTTAGTAGGAGCCCGTCCAGAGGCTGTTAAATGTGTGGTTGAGAGGCAGAAGTGAAAAATGTGACAGATGTTTTGTGTGTTCCAGGACAGTGTCGAAGATGGGACACACCCTGGTGGATTCTGCAGCAACGTTATTTCCAATGTCTCCTGATAGGTTGGTGCAAAATTTGCTTGTTTGATGGCAATGCCCAAATTTCTTCCTTCTCTTCCAGGAAAGTCTGTGGGAGGCCTTAGTTTATTTATTTGTGCAATACATTTTTTGAAGGGTTAGGGTGAGGGTCCAAAAGTGACCATCAAAAAGCTAGGAGAGAAACAAAAAAGGCACAAAGATCTTATCGCTCGCAATTAACCCCCAGTGAAGCAACAGCAAGATTTAACACCAGACCAAACAGCTTCCAATCAGCAAAGTCAATGGGGAAAAGACTGCAGTGATTCTCTTCACAACCGTGGCAAAAAATGAGGGCGTAAAACCTGGTGTTGTGGTCATAAGTTGAGGACTGCTTCTACGGATAAAAAAAATCTGATTTGGCTTTTGGCTTCCTCACCCTTCCTGAAAAGCTAAGCAGGGTCAGACGTGGTTCAATCTTGGAGGGGGGACAATCTGGAAAGTCCAAGGCTGTCTTCACTCACAGAGAAGTTGAAGAAATTCTGGAACATGTTAAAAGTGTGTGTTGTTCTAATGCACAAAAACATGTGTGTTTATAAGTGTGTGTTGCTGGGCTCCATGGCAATCGTAAGTCGAAGTCTATACATACAGACACCCACACCCACGCATACATACACATGTGTTTCTGTGTGTGTAGTCCTTGACTTACTACCACAACTGAACCCAACTGAGCAAGACAAGTGAGTTTTGCCTCATTTTACGACTTTCTTGCCACAATTGTTAAGTGAATCCCTGCAGTTGTAAGTTAGTCACAAAGTCGTTAAATGAATCTGTCTTCCCCGTTGACTTTGCTTGTCAGAAGGTCGCAAAAGGGGATCACATGACCCCGGGACACTGCAACCATCATAAATACGAGTCAGTTGCCAAGCATCTGAATTTTGATCACATCACCACAGGGATGCTGCAGCGGTCATAAGTGAAAAGCGGTCATAAGTCCCTTTTTTCAGTGTCATACTAACTCCAAATGGTTGTAAGTTGAGGACTACCTGTAAATGTCCTTCCTCTTAATATCAACTGGGAAACTAACATGGGAAGGTGGTTTGGGACGTCTCATAAGTACCTGCCTGGGCTTTGCAGGATGGATCCTGGGTGCCATAAATTGGGCTTTCAGCCTTGTTTACAAAAATCCATTTTATTTTCACTCGGCTAAACCAAGCTGATCTTCTCTCTGTTTTAGTGCACCAGAGCTGAACAGTGTTGATTTCAGGACCCTGCAGGCTCAGATCACCGAATACAAGACTCTGTGTCAAGCAGCAGAAGTGGAACGAGACCGTTTGATAGAGCTGGTCAGCATCCTACAGAAAAGGTATGGTGGGTCGCTGAGCACAAAATTCCCTGAGATTTTTTTTGAAACTCAGAGTCCCTTGTCCCAAGTTACTCAGATGTTGAGACTCCACAAAGACTCTGGAAAGAATACACAGAAGAGCTACAAAAAATGATCTGGAGGCTGGAGGCTAAAAGATATAAGGAACGGTTCCTGGAATTGGGTGTGTTTAGTTTAAATGAAAAGAAGGCCTAGGGGTGACATGATAGCAATCTTCCAATATCTCAGGGGTTGCCACAAAGAAGAGGGGGTCAATCTCTTCTCCAAAGCACCTGGAAGCAATGGGTGGAAACAAATCAAGGAGACATCACTGAAAGATGAGCCAGCCATGTGCTGCAGCTGTCAAAAAGTCCAACACAGTCCTAGGCTGCATTAACAGGGATAGAATTCAGATCGCGTGAAGTGTTAATACCACTTTACAACGCCTTGGTAAGATCCACACTTGGAATATTGCATCTAGTTTGGGATGCCATGATATTAAAAAAATGTCCCAGTCAATCCACCTCTTGGATTTCCTGGTGGTCTCCCATCCATCTACACCCAAAGCCGGATTCTGCCTCACTGGAGAAACATTTGACAGTTCTCTCTCAGCTCTTGAGTTGCCGCTGTTTATGGGGCTACAGGGGTGTTTGACCTTTCTTTCTTTTCTTTTTTTAAAAAAAAGTTTTATTAATTTTTAAGAATTACAATCTTTAGAGCAGTGGTTCTCAACCTGTGGGTCGGGACCCCATTTGGGGTCGATCGACCATTTCATGGGGGTCGCCAAGCAAGGCTGTCCGCCATTTTTTTGTCCGCCATTTTTTTTGTCCGCCATTTTTTTCTTTTCCGGCGGGTGCCTTACCTCCCTTGGGCTGGGCCAGCTGGTGGTCGGCCTGCTCCATCTCTGCCGCTTGCCAGCTACGCCTCGGCCGGCGCAGGGGGCGGAACCATGCATGCACGGCGCTTCCGGGCAGGGAAAGTCCTCGACTTACGACCGGTTGGGTAGTCCTCGACTTACGACCGGTTTAGTCCTCGACTTACGACCGGTTTAGTCGACTTACAACCGGTTTAGTCCTCGACTTACGACCGGTTGGGTCGCGGCATTAAAAAGGTTGAGAACAACTGCTTAGAGCTTAGTAAACAACATGTCTGGGTTCTCATATTTAACCTTAACTTCTTCAATATAAATCTATTCAGTACTGCACATTCCAATATTTTTCCCCTAATCCTCCTTTCTTCCCCATATTTTTTCCATTTTCCCCTCATTACACAATTACAATTCCTAATACTATTGATATATGCAACATCTTCATCATAAACATCTTCATCATATTTTACTAATATTATACAAATAACAATATCAATTCATAAATCAATATCCTGTTTTTCGTGCTCTTGTTAAAGCTTGATTTCCCATCAATATTTAAAGTATCTTTGTCAGTTATGATTTTCTCAATATTAATTACATTTTTATATAGCTAAAAATTTTATTCATACCAATCCTCCTCTTATTTTTGTATTTCCCATATCAAAAGAAGAAAAAAGATGCTAAATCATATCTTTTATTAGAAAAGTCTAATTATATCTAAGGGTCACCCATTCTTTTAATCATATTGAAACAAGTATTTAAACATATAATGCCCCCTCTAATAGGTCAAATCTTCTATGTTTTAAAGCTAACTCATGCTTTCTTTCTTTGCCAAGTAGCTTTCCAAGCTAAGGCAATTAAATCATCCAGGAATTTTCTTTCTATTTTTGTGAAAATTGCTTGGCATGAAGAAGACAATTTAGGTAGGGTATTTTGGGGAGAGGAATTCTGCCCATTTATGTTCCTTAAGCAATTCTCACCTTCTTTCTCTCTCAATTTCTCCCCTCATCTTTTGTCTCCCAAATTGTAACATTTCCCCTGACAGCTCTATGTTCCATTCCCCAAAATCTTCTTCCTTGTCATCAGGTGCATCTTGCAGACTTAAGGGGTAAAAGGCCTTTTGCATTTTCATTGTTATGGGTAAGTCTTGCAGTATTTTATTTGTGTATGGTAGTTTATATTTCCCTTCTTTCATCTCTTCCATCCCTAGGTCCATTTCCTCTACTTCATCTTCTGATCTCTGGTTTATTTGTTCATACTTTATAGTCGTTGTCTGGGAAATTTCTAGTTGTAGATTTAATTTGGAGATTTGCTCATTTATATTATCTAAATTATTTTTAGTCTCATTATGGTTTCTTTTTATGTCCTCTTTGTATGCAACAATTGTTTGATGAATTAGTTGTAACATAGAGTATATTTCCTTCTGAAAGGTGTTTGTTTTTTCTTGAGGCATCATTCCTGGAGATCCTCTAATATCACCAGTCTCAGTAAGAGTAGAACAAAGTTTTCTCTAGCTTTCTGGACTTTATTTGTAGCCTTTATAATCCAATAGATTCCAGAATATAGGTCCAGTCCCAAAAGCAATATTTTATAGTGATCCTTTGTCTCAGGCATCCAAAAATTGTCAGTCAGGCAAGGTTATAATCCACAATGTTCAAAGTGTTCAACCTCCCTGAAAACAGCTCAAAAGTCTCTCCCAGCCAGAGGTAATCAAAGGTCATTTTTTTCTTTCTCTCCCACTAGCTCTTGAGATTAAAAGTCCAAGCTCAGTAGGTGTTTATAGTCCAAAAAGGTCAGGGTGATAAGTATGCCAAAATATTTTCCTTTATTGCCAGCTGTTTCCCCTTAAGCTAGGAGTCATCAAGCAGCCAGAAAGCTAGTTATAGTACTGTACTCAAATCCACCCCTAGATGTCATTCAAAATCCATTTTCCACTCTTAAGACAGATTTCTTACATTTCACCTCAATGTTTTTTTTTCCAAAGAGAAAATCTTAACAATGATCTGTTCTCAAATTTCAAAACTGTAGTTTTATGTTACTTCCACATCAATATTGTGTATTTCTGTCCCCCATAGAAATTAAAACACCGTTTCCATTTACATTCTGAGGTTTTTAGCTTCTTGGGAGCCTTTCCCAGGAAATTCAGTTGTAAGATAGTAAAGAAAGGATCAATATTCTCATCCAGTTCCAAAACATGCTGTTTACGATGTGTTAATTGGTACTTTTCTTCTTCAGTTGTCAGCAGCTAATGGCTGGCCATAGGGATGTAGCCAGTCGTTCCCCTGCCGGTTTGGAGGGCTTTTCTCAGATCAAACAGAAAAACCGCCATCTCACTGTGACCGATAAGACATCCCTCCTTCTTCATCGCTTCTTCGAGGCAATTTTAGGCTCTTTTTATGGGCCCCAGCAGGGCAAAATCAGGCATGAAAGGCAGAGCCCTGCCTTTCTGCATCCGTCTCACTGCAATGCAAAACCAGAAGTCTTTCGGATGTTTGATCTTTCTGATGATGCGCATGTGCAACATTTATGTCTCCAGGGTAGATGAGAGCATCACAAAAGTTTGGGAAGCCGAAAAGAAATTTCAGGAACAACAACATAAGTACGTCGCTCTTGAGCAACAGTTTGCGAAGCTGAAGATGGAATCCGGGAAGACAGTCGTGGCCCCCAGGGCTCAGCCCAAAACCAAAACAGGTAAAATCATTCAAAGCATCTAGACATGCAACGCTTTGCAGAAGCCTTGTACAAAACTTGACCAGTGGAATTTCCACAGAGAACAGGAGAATTTCCTCCCCTAATGGCCAACTAGGGGTGGCTGTGGAAGAGAGTCCCAAAATAAAGGAAAGATGGTCGTCATAACTGCACAACCCCCCCCCCCTTTTGAATGAACACATAGTCCTCAACTTATCACCGGTCACGTAGTGACAGTTTGAAGTTACGACGGACTTCCCCAGAACTACTTACAGATCAGTTTCAAAGTTCCAATGGCCCCACTTCTTTCCCTTGTGATCATGTGACCAATTTGGGGGACTTGGCAACCACCCCACATTGACAGCCATTTGCAATGTCCCATGATTGCGATTTTGGGCCGTTTTTGCCAAAAAAAGTGTTTATTTTGGTTGCCAGGCAAAAGCCCTCATTGGGTATAATGGGTTCACTTAACAACCGTTGGATTCGCTTAATGACCTCTGCAAAAAAAATCACAAAATCAGGTGCGGTATGCTGACCTGCTTAACACCACCACGACTGATGAATGTGATTCCAGGCTCAGTTACGGTCATAAGTTGAGAATTATACATATATGTATCCCCCCCCCAAATGGCATTTACTTTGGTTTCTAGAACAAAAAACACCCCATAGTAAAAAAAAATATGGATTTGCTTAATGACTGCAGCATTAGCTTAACGATGGCAGTATTTGCTTAATGACCACTGCAAAAAAAATCTCATAAAATCAGGGAGTTCTGGCAGTCGAAATCCACCCGTCTTACAGTCTCTTTCCACTTCTCAATCGAAGATATGAATTGTGGTTTCTTTTTTCCAGAAAAGTTTAGAATTTGGTGGGTTTGTGGGCAGCCTTCAGGATCAGTATCCCTGTTTAACGATATGTCTTGTCTCAACAGCTCCGCCATTCAGCAGCACCAAAATGAGCTGGAACGCCGGGGATAAAAAAGATCTGCCATCCGTTCAACTTTCCGAAGTGCCTTTGGAGTCTCAGTTGGAGGAACTGTCTACACAGTAAGACGTTTAATATTTTTCTTTTCCATTTTTAAAAAATCAAAACTCTAAATTAGATTTAAGAAGTTGTTAAGTTAGTAACATGGCTGTTGAATGAATCTGGCTTGTCTGTTGACTTTGCTTGTCAGAAGGTCGCAAAAGGGGATCACGTGACCTTGGGACACTGTGACCGTCATAGATAAGAGTAAGTTGCCAAGCCTCTGAATTTTGATCACATGACCATGGGGATCCTGCAACAGTTATAACTGTGAAAAATGGTCATAAATCACTTTTTCCAGTGCCATTGTAACTTTGAATGGTCACTAAATGAATGGTTTTAAGTTGAGGACTCCCTGTACAAGTGATCCTCAACTTATGACCGTAAGGGAGCCCACAATTATGATCATTAATTGATTTGTCATTAAGCAGGTTACCACTTGACTGTTCACAATTTTACAACATTTTTTGCCACTGTCATTAAGCAAACACCGCAATTGTTAAGTGGAACCATGTTACCCAATGGCTGTTTTTTGCCGGAAAGCAGAATTAAATGTTTCCATCAAAAAAAATGTCATAAATTGTGGTCACACAAAACTACAAATGTCTGTAAACGAAGGCCAGTTACTCAGCACCCAAAATATGACACAAAATATGACTACTTACTTACAACTATGTAAGTAGCCCTGGTGAGAATTGTCATAATGTCAGGGAATGGCGCAGCTGGTGTCCAAATGGATCAGAGGCTGTCAGGAACTTCTAAGCTTTATATAAGTAAATATGTTTTACACAGTATATATAGATAGTCAGGCAAACAGGAGCATCATGAGGTCAATTGACACAGCAGGAACATCATGAGGTCAATCGACATAGCAGGAACATCATGAGATCAATCAACACAGCAGGAACATCATGAGGTAAATCGATACAGCAGGAACATCATGAAGTAAATCGACACAGCAGGAAAATCATGAGGTAAATCAATATAGCAGGAACATCATGAGGTAAATCGATACAGCAGGAACATCATGAGATCAATCGACACAGCAGGAACATCATGAGGTAAATCGATACAGCAGGAACATCATGAAGTAAATCGACAGCAGGAACATCATAAGGTAAATCAACACAAAAGGGACATTGTGAGGTGAAATCAAAACAGCAGGAACATCATGAGGTAAATCAACTTAGCAGGAACATCATGAGGTAAATCGACACAGCAGGAACATCATAAGGTAAATCAACACAACAGGGACATTGTGAGGTGAAATCAACACAGCAGGAACATCATGAGGTAAATCGACACAGCAGGAACACCATGAGGTAAATCAACACAGCAGGAACATCATGAAGTAAATTGATACAGCAGGAATATCATGAGGCAAAATCAACACAGCAGGAACATGAGGTAAATCGACCCAGCAGGAACATCATGAGATAACTCAACACAGCAGGAACATCATGAAGAAATTGATACAGCAGGAACATCATGAGGTCAATTGACACACCAGGAACATCATGAGATAAATCGACATAGCAGGAATATCATGAGGCAAAATCAACACAGCAGGAACATCATGAGGTAAAATCAACACAGCAGGAACATCATGAGGTAAATTACAGAGCATGTAGGGCACACAGGAAAAAAGGCAGGAAACAAGGAATCACTTTCTTTTCACTCACAGGACCAATCACAGTGCAGATTGCCTTGCCCCGTGGCCAGCTCCCTTCAACTAATCAACCACAACTCTGTGTGTTCTGGCTCACTGCACAACCCTTCACTGTTCCAGCTACTAAATTTAAATATCTAACCTATAACTCCAAATGGTCTCTAGAGCACTGGTCGTAAGTCGAGTATTTTTGGTCAGATATCGGTCCATTTATTTCTTTTAATTATATATATATATATATATATATATATATATATATATATATATATATATATATATATATATGTGTGTGTGTGTGTGTGTGTGTGTGTGTGTGTGAGTCTTTGGTCATTCGGGTTTTCTCCCGTGTAAGATTAGAAGTGTCATAGCGACGTTTCGATGAAATCACATTCATCATCATCAGGCTTGTGCTTTTAGCTTTGTGCTTCTCAGAGTAATATGAAATGTCTGCTGTTTCTTTCTTTTAACTGCCAGTGGGGTTTGAACTGAAGGGGCGGGGACTTGGTCGTGTTCNTCCAAACATGTCTGGAATGGGGGGGTTTAAAGTGGTTAATGATGTAGCTGTGGAATGGATTATAATTTGTGGTTGTATCTCATCATCTGTGTGGGTTTGGGTTTGTTTTTTGTGTGGATGTATGGTTGTGACATCATGTGTGGTATTTGTGAGTGTGGGTCTGGTGTCATTTTTTGTGTTAGGGACTCGTTTGCTAATATATATAAATTCGTCAACTGTTTCCTTCCATGCAGGCTAGCGATCCAGATGGACGAGATCGAAGGCCTGAAGAATGCTTTGCAAGAATCCATCCGGACCAAAGAGGAGGACTTCCGTGTATACCAGGACACCGTGGGACAGGTGAAGGAGATCTTCCTGCACGCTCTGAAGCAGCATGCGCAGGAGAAGAACTGAGTCTGGTCCAGTGGTGGGAGGGGGTTAGTCCCGCTGTCCAGATGTGGTCCCTCCGAGGTGACTCTCATTTAAATACTTGCAGGAGGGTGCAGGAGACACAGCAGACGTTGGTCCTGTAGAAGATGCAGGTGGTCCCCAGCTAGAGGGACCCAAGGGCCAGCTCCTCTCATCCATAATGATGTATTCGTAGTCATATTCACCGGATCGGTAGTCCGGCACTCGTTCCAAAAGAGTCTAGAATCCCTAAGCGGGAAGAATTTGCTTGGGTAGAAACCAACTTTGGATCAACTTTGACATCCCTTGCCAAACAAGACCTGTTTTTAAACTTTTCCAATGTAAATACAGACCCCATTGTTGTCACTCAGCAAGACCTGGACGAAGTATAATGTCTTGTTTATTTTTTCAAAAGACACGATACCATGTTTCTTTGATCGCGTGCTTGTGAATTGCAGGGATGGTGGGGGTGAGCTGCTTTTCCTGGATCGTTCATTTACAAGTGTGTTTGTACACCTCCCGTGCCCTTTTTCATCTCTGCCCAAGTTTGCTTCACGATCGGTTAACTCCCTTGTTGACTTTTAGTTTATCTTCGGACGTTTTCCCCTTGTTGAGTTGCTCAGGGAGGGCTCAGATTAAATTAGAAAATATTGATCCTAATGCTGGGAAAGATTGAGAGCAATAGAAGAAGGGGACGACAGAGAATGAGGTGGCTGGATGGAGTCACTGAAGCAGTAGGCATGAACTTAAATGGACTCCAGAGGATGGTGGAGGACAGGAGGACCTGGAGGAGCGTTGTCCATGGGGTTGCGATGGGTCAGACACGACTTCACAATTAACAACAACAAGTCATGAAAAGAAAAGTAAGCAGAAACATAGATAGATGAGACAGACAGACAGACAGACAGATGATAGACACACAGACAGATAGACGGACAGATAGATATAGGAATATTTATAAGTAAGTAGAGCCATGGTGGCGCAATGGTTAGAATGCAGACTTGCAGGCCAACTCTGCCCACTGCCAGCAGTTCAATCCTGAGCGGACTCAAGGTTGACACAGCCTTCCATCTTTCTGAGGTCGGTAAAATGAGGGCCCCCGATTGTTGGGGGGCAATAGGCTGAGTCTGTAAACTGCTTAGAGAGGGCAGTAAAGCACTACGAAGCTTATAAAAATCTAAGTGCTATTGCTATTGTAACTCAGGATTGTACTATGGGGTCGTTGGTGGTTTTATAAAAAGACGTTTCATGACCAAATTAGGTAATACCATCAGTGCTAGGAGGGAGTGGGGTTTTATAAAAGACGTTTCATGACCAAATTAGGTAATACCATCAGTGCTAGGAGGGAGTGGGGTTTGCCAATAAGACCAAATCCTGCCCTGTTCCCTCCTAGCACTTGATAATGTTACCTGGTTTGGTCATGAAAAATTTGCAAGAAAACCACCAAGCTCAGAGAGCACCAGGGATTCTCCCTCCCTCNTCTCTCTCTCTCTCTCTCTCTCTCTCTCTCCCTCTGTCTCTCACCTATTTATCTGTCTGTCTATCTCTAGCTATCTGTCTATCTTTCTATCTGTCTAGCTATCTAGTATCTATCCATACATCCATCCAGGGCTTTTTTTCTCATAGAACGCCCAGAACAGAGTTCCGGCACCCTTTTTGGATGGAACCTTGTAGGGTAGGCAAGGCGGGTTGTATGACGTGTGTGAGTTCCGGCACCGTTTTTTTTTTTTTTTAGAAAAAAAGCACTGCATCCATCCATTTATCTTTCTGTTTATAGATAAAGATAGATAGTTTAGATAGATGATGGACAGACAGACAGGGAGGGAGGGAGACAGGCAGGTAGGCAGACAGACAGATAGATTGACAAGTTCACCGCCTGGTAATATTATAGTTGCCTATACAGCTTGAAACTAGCCCTAGAGATTCTGTCCAGCACAATAAAACTGTTCCTTGAGGTGCAAGTTAGATTTCGTTTTACCTACATTGTATGTCTGCCAGCCACCAGGAAATTCTCAAAATAGGCTAAAAAATTGAATGAATAACTTCAGGCAGCTGAGTTACTTAAGCTCTACTTACAACAATTCATTGAGCAACTGTTCGGCATTGAGAAAAGAGGCTTACAACCAGTCCTCACTCTTATGACAGTCACAGCACGCAGCTGGTCACAAAATCAAAATTCAAACACTTGGCAACCAGCATGTAATTAACAACGGTTGCACATGATGGCAGCCGGCTTCCAACAAACAAAGATAATGGGGGATTTGGTTAACGACCACATCCCTTCGCGATAGATATTGTGGTTCCCCATTGTGGTCGTAAGTCAAGAACTTCCTGTAATAAGGTAGCCCATTTGTTAAAAAAAAAAAAATCAAAGGATTCCATATCTGCGCTTGTCAATTAGGCAGTGGTGGGATTCAGCCAGTTCGCACCACTTCGGCAGAACCGGTAGCTAATTTTTTTGTTGCCCAGGCCCAGAATGGACTTCCGGAAGTGGCATCCACACAGAGAACCAGTTGAATCCCACCACTGCAATTAGGGCTGCGTACCATCATCTAGTGGACAACCACTTAAAGATAAGCCAGCCGTGTGCTGCAGGGGCTAAAAAGGCCAACACAGTCCTGGGCTCCATTAACAGAGGGATAGAATCAAGATCACAAAGGATTGAAGGCTAAACCATACAATGGACGATATTAGTACCACTTTATAATACTTGGTAAGGCCACACTTGGAATATTTCACCCAGTTTTGGTCGCTACGATATTAAAAAGACATGGAGACTCTAGAAAGAGTGCAGAGAAGAGCAACAAAGATGATCAGCGGACTGGAGGTTAAAACACATGAAGAACAGTTGCAGGAATTGTATATGTCTAGTTTAATGAAAAGAAAGACTAGGGGGGACATGATAACAGCGTTCCAATATCTCAGGGGCTGCCACAAAGAAGAGGGAGTCAAGCTATTCTCCAAAGCACCTGAAGGCAGGAAAAGAAGCAACGGATGGAAACTGATCAAGGAGAGAAGCAACCTGGAACTAAGGAGGAATTTCTTGTCAGTGAGGACAATTAACCAGTGGAACAGCTTGCCTCCAGAAGTTGTGGGTGTTCCATCACTGCATGTTTTTAAGAAGAGGCTAGACAGTCACTTATCTGAGATGGTATAGGTTCTCCTGCTTGAGCAGGGGGCTTGATTAGAAGACCTCCATGGTCCCTTCCAGCTTCTATTCTGTTCTGTTCTATTATAATCACTTCCCATGGAGTGTGCGGTGATATTTAATCCTATCAATTAAATTCTTATTCTAACTGTTCCCTCTGCACTCCCAGCAGGTGGAGTGCTCAGCCATCATTAACTGATCTCTCAGCAGCCCAGGAAAGTCAAATTTCTTCAGTTAGTGCAAAATCTTCTGGATTAAACCTTTCAACTGGGTTTTTTTGGGGGGGAGGGCTTGGTTTGAATGGATTTCCTGTCCTCCTCTTTCACCCATTTTCCCAACTGGCAACTGGCATCAAAGACAGAGTGCTTTGTATCACGATTGGCCAGCAAGGATATATGCCAGCGTTAATTCATTAATTTAAGAATTTTTTTTTCTCCTTTCAATTTTATTTCATTCAGAAGATTAAAACACAGGTAGTCCTCTAGTTATGATCACAAGGGAGCCCAACATTTCTGTTGCTAAGCGAGACCATTGTTAAATGAGTTTTGCCCATTTTACAACCTTTATTGGCCACGGTTGTTAAGTGAATCACTGCGGTTGTTATGTTAGTAAGATGGTTAAGCGAATCTGGCTTCTCCATTGACTTCGCTTGCCAGAAGGTTGCAAAAGGGGACTGCATGATCCAGGACTCTGTCACCATTATAAATACGAGTCAGTTGGCAAGCCTCTGAATTTTGATCATGTGACCAAGGGGATGCTGCGACGGTCGTAAGTGTGAAAAACGGCCATCACTTTTTTCGGGGCCATTGTGACTTTGAATGGTCACTAAACAAACAATTGTAAGTGGGGGACTCACTGTGTTGCTGATTTAAACTCTGGGATATTTCCTGTCCTCTGAGAAAAAGATGGCCTGGCATCTTCTTTCTGGCCAAAAACCTCGAAAGTATTCAAAGCATTGGGACAAATATTGAACTCAAAATGATTATTTTAATTTTTTTTTAGAAACGGGCTACAACTCTGTGCAGTTTCTATCTGCAGCATTCAGATACTTGTCCTCGTGGTTTCCTGGCAGGAAAAACCAACTGGGAACACAAAAGCTACGGTTGTAAATTAAGCTGTGACAGTGCCAAGAGGCCAGTTGTGTTTCTCCCTTCCTTCCTTTTGGCTGCGATAAGCCTATCAGACAGTCCTTGAGTTAAGACTACGATGTGGACCAGAATTTCCATTGTTAAGCAAAATGGTTGTTCAGTGAGTTGTGCCCAATTTTACTATCTTTTGGGGGCATGGATGTTAAGCGAATCTGGTTTCCCCCATTGACCTTGTTTGTCGGAAGGCAGTTGTGAAAGGCACAAATGGAGATCACGTGACTGTGGGGATGCTGCAACCATTGGAAATGCAGAGTGGTTGCCAAGGGTCTGGATTTTGACCGCCTGACCATGCTGCAATGGTCATAACTGTGAGAACCAATCTTAAATCACTCTTTGCAATGTTGTTGAACTTTTGCTGGTCACTAAAATGGTTGTCAATCAAGGACTGCCTGTATAGTCAAGGGGGGAGGAGGGAGGAAAGGAGGGAGGGAGGGAAGAAGGAAGGAAGGAAGGAAGGAAGGAAATGAGGGAGGGAAGGGAAGGAGGAAGAAGGAAAGAAAGATAGAATGAGGGGGAGGGAGGGAGGAAGGAAGGAAAAGGAAGGAGAATTAAGGAAACGAGGAAAGGGAAGGAAGGGGAATGGTGGAAACAGTAAGGAGGGAGACTTCCAGTCTTGCACAGCAGCGCAGCAGTCAAGGGGTTTGGGATTCCGTGCCCTTCGGCTGAGTTTCTTCCTGTTAGGGGACCCTAAATGGGCCAGAAGCCACCCTGAAGAAGCAGCAAAGAAGGAAGGAAGTCCTGGGGACCTCTGAGAGATGACAGTCAACCCGATTGGTCCAGAAGAAGCCTTCCAGAAACCAACAGGAGAAAGGCTAGCCTAACTTCAGAGTCTATCCCAA